ACTGCTTCGAGGCTGGAACTTTAGTTTGAGGTGGCAGTGATGGGTTTATCCAGTTCAAGGTCAAGGCTGGAGCTGCTGGGGGGCAAGCTGCTGTAGCAGGATTTGCAGACTCTGCTGGGTTCGAAGAGCTGCTGACTGGGAACGGGCACCTTCTGGTTACAGCAGCTGGAGCAGAACACGTTTCCACAATTCCTTACATCAGGAAATGGGGGAAAATGGAAAAGAGAAGATTAGAAGCAGTTTGACAGTGTTCCCCGAGTTGTAAACTGCTCTTCACAGGGTTGTGATGGGGTCAGCCCAGAGGCTGCAGCGGCTCTTTCCCAAGCATGGGATGCATGAAGCCACCCCACCAGCAGCTGCGCCCCGTGCTCCTCACCCTGCAGCCGGGGCAGAGCTCTAGGGAAGGGACACCAGGAGGGAGCACAGAGCAAAGCACCGTGCATGAGCTCATGGAACATCCCAGGAGCCACAGCTCCTGTGCAACAGGGAGATCACACTCAGCTGCAAGAGGGGAGACTGAGATGAGCTCTGAGGCAGAAGCTCTTCCCTGTGAGGGTGCTGAGGCGCTGGCACAGGGTGCCCAGAGAAGCTGTGGCTGCCCCATCCCTGGCAGTGTTCAAGGCCAGGTTGGACACAGGGGCTTGGAGCAAACTGCTCTAGTGGAAGGTGTCCCTGCCTGTGGCAGGGGTTGGAGATGGAGGAGCTTTAAGGTCCATTCAACCCAAACCAGGCTGGAATTCTGTGCTTCTATGAAACTGGAGGGAACCCACCCCTCCCTGAAACAGGGGTGAGCTCTCTCCCGTGGCCTGCAGAGCAGCTCGGGCCCAGTGATGCTCATCACTGCACTGCACCCCAAGGGCACATGGCTAAGCGAGGGGCTAAAGCAGAGCAATCAAGGGCTCCCCTCTGTAAGGATATGTGGAGTGTGGTGTCCTGGCCCTGCTCACATCACTGACCCAGCCTTGTGTTAGAGACAGACTGTCCTGGGAAGAGGTTGGAGTCTCGGCTCTCTTTCTCTTCTGAAAGCTGGTGAGTACCAGCACAGAGACATTGTCATCTGTTTCTCTCAAGCACACTGCTGGAGAGTTGAAGCACGGGACAGATGAAATAAAACCAGCCCCAGACTGGGTTGATGCAATCCTCCATGTCCCCAGCAGCTTGGTCCCTGTTGTGGCATTCCCAGCACTCCCCACACTTCTGCGTAAGGTAAACTGAGTCACAAGGATCATGCAAAGCCAGAGCTGGGCAGGCAGGTTTGTCATGCTCAGAAGCACAGGGGGTGCTCACACACATTCCTGTCAGGTGTGAGCTGGAGCATGCACCTCACAGGAGGCAGGGATGGAACTGAAACCTCGAGTTAGTTACCTGCTCTTCTTACAGCCCCCCGCAAACCTGCTGCTGCTCACACTAACCTGAGGTGTCCTGTCCTCCACACTCATCAGCTCCACAAGGAGCTCAGAAGAGCACTGAGGGACCTGACTTGAATAGGTTCACCTCTGTGCCTGACACTCCTTTACCAGCAGGGTTTTGTGCCATTCTTATTTTGTGCTAGGAAAGATCTGCTGCTGCCAAGAGACTGACAGAGAATTCTGCCTACACCCAGCAGCTCTGATTAATGCTTCACTGCCAAAGAGACAAGATTTCCAGATGCTGGTCACTGATGGGGAAAGAGGCAGCAGAGAAATCCCATTTCCCACTTCAGTGGGCTCATTTTCTCAGCTCACACTGGGAGGCTGACAACAGCCCCAGCCTTCCTGCAGTGGTGCTGAAGCCTTCTCAAGGACCCTGTTAGAAACCCCTATCAGAAACCCCAGCAGGAGTGAGAACAGGCCCATGAGGTGTTACATGGCAAAGCCATTCAACAGCTCCCCATCTGCTGCTCAACGTGGATCCAGCAGAAGCTCCCTGCTGATGGATGAGGTCAAAAAGGAACCTGAGGGATTAAAATAAGTATGTGTTTGTTGTAGCCCACCAGCTTCCTAACATATGCTGGGGGTTTTTTGTTGTTTTATCCTTCTGTGATAGATAATAGTGTAGCTATTCTCCCCTGAGCTTTGGAAAGCTCTGAACAAGGGTGACTACCATGCTACCAACACCTCCTCTTCTTACCAAGCCACAGATTGGAACAGGGTGCCCAGAGAAGCTGTGGCTGCCCCATCCCTGGCAGTGTTCAAGGTCAGCTTGGACACAGGGGCTTGGAGCAACCTGCTCTAGTGGAAGGTGTCCCTGCAGGGGTTGGAACTGGAGGAGCTTTAAGGTCCCTTCAACCCAAACCAGACTGGGATTCTGGGATTATCCATTTCTGGTGATACTAACCCTCTACCAGTTCTGCATTCCCTGTTACCACCACAGTATTTTCAGTCCTTCTAAAAGAAGTGGCATGTTTTTTGTCAACACATTGCAGTGACATTAATATTGTTGAGTAACTCATGGACCTCTCCCAAAAATAAGGCAAAAAAGGGAAAAAATCAAAACTAAATGTGCAATGGCTACACTTGAAGGACAGGCTCTTCTCAGTTAGAAGTGAAGCATTCCTTGTTACTCAAACACACGATTTACTGATGGTGTTAGTGTGATCCACACCCCTGTTTAAGCCAAGTCCTAAATGCCTTCTGTGAAGAGAGAGGCCTGGTTATGTGGGTTTAAACAGCCACCAGATTGTGCTGCCCTCCCCCAACTTACTTCTAGTGATTTCTAGGCAAGTGAAAAACAAAGAGGGGGAAAGACTGAGTTAGTTCAGAGATGTTACCAGGAAAAGGCAGACAGACAACAGACAGAGGCTGTTGTAAATGCTCACCAGATCTGATCAACACCTTCAATGTCCCTGCAAGGAGGGGAGAAAGAGCTCAGAGGGGAACAAGGAAAAGCAGCAAATGGGGGCAATGAAGGATGTGGGATGATTTTATCCTGCTCAAGGATTGCACTGTGTGGGTTTCAACTCATTTTCACCCCTGGGTCAGCTGTGGAGCAGACTGCCACCCAGCACTGGGGTTTTGAAACTATGGAAACACTTGGTGTTCTTCCTGGTTGCCACTCTTTACTGGTCTCTGCTGTAAACCACCAGAGCTCACGTGGACAGCCTGGTCACCATCTGAAAGCTGAAGAAACCAAGTCACCACAGGGCAATTTGCAACCAAACTGGAAACCCTGAGCCAGTTTGAACTCCTCATGGTACTGGGGTGCCCTCTGTGTCCACAATCTAGGAGTTCTCCAGAACCAAGGCCTAGGAAATGGAAGTGTAGACGCCAAGTGTGATGGGTCAGGGAGACAGCTCTGGTGGGCACACTTCCCATCAGACACAGGAAACCACTACCTGAACTCTCATAAACCCCTTTAGATGGGTAAAACTGCATGCTTGGCAATTCTATTTTTCATCTGAAGCCTCAAGACACACAAATTTGCACAAACACTGTGGACACAAAAAGAAAAATCAAAGCCCTTCAACAACTTCTCATTCTCCCCTGGCTTTGTCTGTACAAGACTAAATGGAGCAATACATAAAAGAGACACAACCGAAGGAGGATGTTTCTAATTCTCTGCGCTTCAAAAAGCAATGAAGCATCAAAATGGGATAACTGCCATTTATTTACATGATGGCTCTTGTATTAGTTTTCTCCTGCCCAGAAATCAGGAGGAGGAAGGATATGAAATAGAAACCTGAGATTCTCTGTCTTTAACTACAGTATGACCTCATCAAACAGCCTCTGCCACTTGTCCTTCATTGAGCCCCTGCTGCATTATCTGTTGTAGCCTCTGCTGGCAATATGTTTGGCAAAGAATAATCCAGAAAACTTTTAGTTCTCAAAGGTGTCCTTTTCAGATTCTTTACATGAGCCATTTAATGAAAAGGGGAGAATGGTTAGAGAAGGAAAGGAGCAGGTTTGCAACCAGCAATGGGACGATGCTGCTATTCATCTGTTTGCAGTACTGAATTCCTGAATGCCAAGATGACATACCAGTATTTTTTATTATTTACACTTCTTAAAAGGCTAAACAGGCAGCTGCCTCCAGGTCCAGCTTGAGGACAAAAGGCAGGGCCTGTTTAGGCTGGGGTGGAGCAGATACCTGGCTTTTTAAAGATATATTCTGCATGGAACTAGAACCACAGAGGAGAAAGTGCTCAGGTCCTGCAGCATGCTTGGCTCCCTCAGGAGCATGCACAACCCATAGTGTGACATCCACCCCTGAGAAAGGAGCTACATGGTTTAAGAGGAGAGGGACAACCCAAGCCGTGGCCTCCCTCCCTCCCATTCTCTGTGGAGGCCCAGGTTACCTGCAGTGGTGCTTCCTGCTGGCAAGCCAGAAGGTGCTGTCACAGCCGTAGCAGTGCGCAGCGAGGTGGTCTGGGAGCCATCGTGTCACCTGCAAGAAATCCAAGCCACACGTATAAAGCAGAGGGCAATTAGAAACAAACCCACCTCATCCGTGCTCCCAAATTCAAAGCAAAGCACCACCAAGGAGGGGTGCTTGTTCTATTCTGAGAGCACAAATCCAGAGTTTGCAACTGGAGACAGACGACAGGAACCTTGAGAACAGATACACTAGATTTCCCTCAAACAGAAATGATGTCATGAAGTCCAATTCCTTGGGGTTTTGCTGGGATTTAGAAGTATCCAGCCAAGAATATTCACCAAGCATGTGTCCACCTAGGGCTCCTTGAGCTAATCACCTCTTCCACGGCCTCTCAGAGTTCCACGCAGAAGGCAGAGGGCTCATAGGCACAGGTACCAGTGGTTGAAGTACAAGACACCAGTGAAGCGCAAGGAAGAGAGCTCACAAGAAGTGGCACATGACCAAAGGCTGAAGGAGAGTTTGAGTTACGAATATCCCCATCCTACCAGAAGAATGAGCAGTTTACAGGGATTTAGTCTGTACCTCTGTGTCCTGTTTATCCACCTGCTCCCAGCTGGCTTCAGAGAAAATCTCTGTGCTGCAGCGAGACAAGCAGTTCTGATCCAGATTGCTTTCCGAGTCGGGTATAGAAGTCTGTTGGCAAACAAACACAGCTGAACAGAACCATCCCCTATCCCTAATTCCATACAAATAAAACTGGACATGGGGAGGAGTGGAAAGGGTACCTCCTGCTAAGGAAGAGCAGGCTATGGCTGCACTGCTAGGGTGAATGTCGTAACTGTACCCCTACCTACAGTGAATTGCAAAAAAACCCAAGCCACCAAGCAAAATAACCCCAGGGGTCAGCTTTTGACCCTCTGATGACAGGATGATGTGAGGCAGAATGGATTTGGGATCTTTTTTATTGCTGGGTTGGCCACACTTTAGGTGATGAACCAAAATAGCTGCTATCTGTGGCTCCAATGTTTGTTTTCCAAGGTTGTTTCACTTTCAAAGTTCACACCAGTAATACATAGATCCTTTTGTCAGGAAAAATCCTGGAAAATACATCCCAAATCCCACATGGGAAACTCTGAATTTGAGCCATATATATTTCATATATAATTTTTAGGAAATAATGCTTCCTTAATACAGTTTATCCAGATAGAGTTGTTTTGAACTGAGTTAAAACTCAGCCATCCCTTAAAATACATTAAAAATAGAAAGAAATCTTGAGTTACTGTCTTTTAGTGCCTGAGGTATGGGAATCTCTGGAGCTCCAGAAGGAAACCTTCCAGTCCTAAGCTGGGAAGAGCTCAGATTCTCAAAACTGGCGTATTTTCTAGAGCACAGCATGCTCCCACCTCCAGCCCCACGCTGCAGTTTGTGATGGCCCTTCAAAAATAGGAGTTTTATAATTAAATCAAAGCACCAAATTTCTCTAAGGAATCCAAGCTTTTGGCAGTGACAGAAGCCACATGCAGCTGGAATGACACTGAGCTGAAATGGATGCCCAGAAGTGCTGTCACCTCCAATGTGAACAGCCAAGAGGCGCTGAGTATTCTCACAACAGATGTACCTGGGTCTATAAGGCCTCTCTGCCACATCCAGACAACAGGAAACTAAACAGAAGTTGGAAAGCTCCTGTAGGGTTATTTTCTTTTCAATTTTGCAGGCATAGAAACCACATCATAATGTGGATGTAGGAAGAGGAAATTATTGATGGGTGTTATGTCAACCTCAGGAATCCAGGCCAATGCATCCAAACCCCAAACCTTTTGACTTTTATTAGTCGAAAGAGGAGAAACGAGGTAAAAAACAGGTAGAGGAGAAGGAACTTAAAAATCCACCCAAGACATTCGGAGATGCAGAGAACACTTGTTAGCTCTTGAGATCTTGAACTTGGAATTACACTCATTCCATCTCTGATTTTAAGGTTTCTTTTGCAACCACAACTGCAGAGATGATTTCATCGCTATGGAAATCAGTGATTAGTCCTGGATTTGTATCATGCCTCAAACTTCACTCTCTGTTTTTATGACTTTAAACACTTCCCAGTAAGAGCAAATAGAGTTTAAAAGCTCCCTTAAAATCATTATAGAAACCCTGACATAAGGCTGTTGCAAAAGCTCTTAATTTATTGCAGTTAATAAGCCTTGAACTTCACTGTTCTGAGCCAACAATGCAGCCACTGCTGCATCTTTCTTACCCTGAGGGTGCAAAGCACCAAGAGATCAGTCCTACACTACTGCCCCAATACACCCCACATTCACATCCTTAGAAAAATATCTTCACCCACATATGAAAACCACAGTTTTTGTATGTTTGGGGTTATTTTTAAGGCAGATGAAGTTGTTTAAGTATGTCCAGGTATATGTGAGTGAAACACCCATCTAGAAATAAGCCTTTAGTGCATTTCTGGTCAAACTAAAATACAGTGAAACTATTAGTCATCCTTAACTGCCATTTGCCATGTTTCCACTCAGTTGTTTGCCCTCCTCAGAATGACTCTGAGTGTTTTATAAAGCCTTCATGGCCAAAAAATCACCACCTGCCCAGCAAACCAAGAGCTGACAAGCTGGTGAGCTCCAGAACGTGTCTAATTAGCCCACTGTTGCCAGCAGTGGCCCAATTACCATTTCACTTACCACTTCATCTCCATAATCACCATTGAGACGTAAGGAGCTATTCAGGAACTGGCTCTCCAAGCGGCTCTTCAACTCTTGCACTTGCTTCTTCAAAGTCTCCACTTCTTGCTGGTGGCCAGTTTCTATCTGGCGCAGGCGCTGCTGGATAACGTCGGTGTAGACAGGCATCCCATCGTCGTCCAGGTGACTTCTGGCAGGTTGGTCTGGGCTGCTGGCTGCCTGCTGCTTACCAAGGTGACTAAACATCCACTTCTGGTGCAGGTTCCTCAAGTGGAACTGTGCAGAACTGCAGCTAGCTGTGGAGACCTGCCGGCTCAGGGAGGCTTTCATCCGCCCGTCCTCTCCATTCACACAGTGTCCGTTTGTCGCATGGTATTTTGGGGGCATCCCAAACCCCATGGGCTTCTCCACCATCTTGTTCTCAGTCTCCAGCTCCCCGTTACACACAATCTCATCTTTATGTTCAGCTAAAGGCAAGGCACAAGGGGAAGGCATCGGGATGTGAGTGTTGCTGCTACCAGAAGTCCTATGTACTTTTGTTCCCAGTTTCTGAAGTTCTAGCGTGTTCTCCCCCTCTGGCCTGTTTTCAAGAGTTCGAGATAGTTCCTCAGCACTGCTGTTGCCCAGGGGAGGTCTGTGGCAAGGACCCTTCAGAACAAGCTCTTGCTTTGCTTCATTCTCTGTTAAGGTTTCTGTAGAACTTTCAATGTTCGATGTCCTTACCTCGTGTGGGATTGTGAGAGGTAACAGAAGGCTGGCCTGCGCTGCACTGTTCAGGCTCTCTGCTTCTCCTTCAAGTTTGCTAACACCTTCTTCCTCCATATTCTTTTGAGTGTCTCTACTTACAAAGCCCTCCAAAGGAACAAAAGCCTGTAGTCCTTTAGCCTGAGGTACCTTCTGGATAGTGTTACTGAGATCAGGATGCTCATCCTGTTGTCCTTTAAGCTCAGAAGCACCTTGTGAAGCTGGATGTGGATTGAGAGCTGGATTGTTCATTACAAGACCTTTATCCATCTCGGCCTTTCCACAGAGGTCACTGCCATACTCATGTACATTTTCAGTTCTCTTCTTATCCAGGGCAATTTCATCCCCTTTACCTACTGTCTCAAGGCTCCCCCTCAAGTGCTCCTCCAGACCAACGTCATCTTTAGTGGCCTCTTGCAAAATGTTCTCCATCTGCCCCTCTGCCACACCAGCTGCCACAGAGAGCTCTGCTCCCACTGGAGCCCTGCCCTGTTTATTGAGGCTGTCCCCATCAAACGGGTCATCCCCAGGGTTACTGAGGCTGCTGAGCTCCAGGGACCTGCGGTGCTCCTGCCACTTCTCATTGAGGCTGGGGTCGCTACTGCGTCGATTGCTTGGAGGCACACTGCTGTCACAGGCTGTGGTCAGATTGTCAAAGGATCTTGTCTTTGGTAACCTGGGAAAGTACAAATAATCAGAATCCAAAGTCAGTGTTTTCGATGTTTAGCTACTGCAGTTTAACATCACCCACCCCACCCACCCCCAATTAGGACAATAGCAATCTGCTAACTAATGGACTTCTATGAAGTATTCTGCAGGAGCAATTTTGACCATCTGTAGTGCAGAGCTGCTTCAGTACTTTCTTTGTTTGCCATCAGGAAAAGATGTTCCATCAGACTTCAAACATTCCCAGAATAATCCCTTTCCCACAATGCACAATTACAGCCTGGTCCCATCTCCTAAGCAACATGTGCTCGGAATCATTGTACAAAAACCCAAAAGAATAGTTATGCAACAGAAAAAGAACTCAAATTCAAGACCATCAAATGACAAGCTTGTATCCCACAAGGATATAAGGAATTCTACAAGCCTATGCAATACCCAGAGCTATTTGCTAATCTTCTCTGTGGTATGGTATCACCTCTGAAGCATAACAGCTTTCATAACTGAAACAATGACAGACTGCTTGTGGGTAGGCCCCACAAATAAGCCTGTGAAAAACAGTTCCCTCCCACCACAAGTACTCTCTTTATATCCCACAATATTCTCTGTTGATCTTACTTTACAGGATGGGATTTCTGGGCTCTAGGCTCACCTGCCCAGAGGCTGATCTTCAGGGCTAGAGCCTGGAACAGGGTACGGGGCACAAGTGTCGTCAGTGGGTGTAGAGGGGGAAGAGCATGGCAGGTAAACAGCACTCCAGAGCATTAAGTTCCGCACATGGCACACTGGATACAGCACCTGAGAGGGGGGAACACAAGGATCAGAAATGGCAAACTGCTCCCAGAACACAGGGAAGTGTTCAAATCTGACAAAGGTGGCAGTTGCCCATTTGGGTTTGCAGCTGGGAGGCTTTGCTAGATCTCCAGGTAACTCTGAAGGCAACTGAGCAGCTCTGGCATTTGTAACCAGCTCCACTTGGATATGTGATTATCTCTTCTTTCAGAGACAGAGGCTGAGGCAGAACAATGCTGGCTTTCACCTTCTCCTGAATGAGTTACTGCAGTGTGCTCTTGTGTGAATCTACACCTAAATGATGCCTCTGCGCAATTCCAGCTGCTGGGGAATTCAGTGGCCCATTGTTAGCGCAGAGATTGCCTTGTACTTTGTGTTATACCCTGTCCCAGGAGAGCTGAACTTACAACCTCCTTCTACAGGCTCCAGTTCAAAGCTAACCCTGTCATCAGCAGAAGCACTGGTATGTTAAAAAGTAAGTACATGCAGAAATACTCTTCTTGCTTGCTCTAAAAAGGGATTCTGTGCCTGTGGAATATGCTTTCTGCTTCAGTGTAGAACCACCTCGGGTCACTCTATCAATTCCACTCTTTTCCCAGGCAACTTCCCTGTGAAAAGGCAGGCAATGGCCGAGAAAGTGAGGTTTCCCTGCCACTGTGCAGAGGTAGGGCTGTGGGGTGGCTTGGTTTGGTGGATGCTGCCTGTGAACAACTATGGGTTTACAACAGATGTTGCCACATGAGAGAGGCTGCAAAGACTTCTAAAGACTGAAGCAAACCCATGAAAAGATGAATACAAGAGAAAAACCTCCCCCATACAGAAAGTTATCCTAACTGGCTCAGGTTGTCCTAACTGGCTTACTGAGAACAGCCAAGGCACCGAGACTGCACCTGTACTGCAGGACACAGCATGTGAGAACAGCCAGGGACAGAACTACCTGTTCCCCACAGCTTCTCTGTGCTTCTCCTGGGCAAACCTGCTGGTGCTTTCAGGGAAAACTTGGATGCATCCACAGCTTTAAAAGTCCCCACAAGCTGTATTTATCTGCAGTGTCTCATGCTTTCAGCTACTTGAAGGAACAATCAAAAGCCACATCCACCATATGCAAAACACTGCACAGGCCTTACAGTTTGGTTTATGATAGATGATACTTTTATAAGCAAATATTTATAAAAGCCTTTGCTGTCCTCATCATGATGATGTTTGATGACTGTTTGCCACATGCCCAACACACTGCACCCCTCCACACCTTATGTGACCTTCCATCACACACACTAAAGAGAATTGTGAGCCCTTTCCCAGTGAGCTATTGCTATGGAAGAGCCACACTGAAAACATCCAAGTGTTAAGAGAAACAAAGATATACTGAATGATCTGAGTTACTTTTCCTGTTTAGATTTAAGATGAATTCAGACACAGTGTCTTAGGTTTATGTGCAATTTTATGACACTCCTCCAGCATAGCTTAGTCCTCTAGAAAGGTCTATTTGTCAAACAGTGAAATGTTTTCTGTTACAGAAAATGAGGCAAAATATTCAGTTATAAAAAAATGCATTGCCAGCATAGAGAAATTTCTGAGGTTACATTTGACATTCCTCAAATACCAGCAAACTTAATGCAGGCCTTGAAACATCAGAGGGGGCAGAGTGTTCAAAGGAGAACATCGATGAGGAGAGCTGAGCACACCTACGCATCATGTATTCATCACGATAGTTGAGCCATTACAATGTCCCACTGCTAAAAGCTTGGGTGTTTTCTTAAAGTACCTACAGGGGCCAACACAAAACCTGGAGAGGGGCTTTGGCCAAGGGCCTGGAGGGACAGCACAAGGGGAATGGTTTGAACCTGCCAGAGGGGAGACTGAGATGAGCTCTGAGGCAGAAGCTCTTCCCTGTGAGGGTGCTGAGGCGCTGGCACAGGGTGCCCAGAGAAGCTGTGGCTGCCCCATCCCTGGCAGTGTTCAAGGTCAGCTTGGACACAGGGGCTTGGAGCAACCTGCTCTAGTGGAAGATGTCCCTGCCCATGGCAGGGGCTGGGACTGGAGGAGCTTTAAGGTCCCTTCCAACCCAAACAGTCTCCAATTCTGCGATACCCAGTTCTGAGAGCACTGTCCCTGGGAGCCCCTAAAGGGATGCTCCCTGCAAGGTGGGGAATGAAGGATACATACAGAGTCTGACTGGGAAGAGTAGAGCAGGTTTTTGAAGGCTTTGTTTGCTGCCCGCAGCAAAGACCAGACAGAACAGGTCCGTTCCTGAGTGTGTTTCTCTCCTCTCTCTTTCGCATTGTTGCACAGGAATGTACCAAAGAGGCAAGAGTAGGTGTGCTGCACCAACTTCACCTGCACAGACCAACACAGACATTGTCACATGGCAGAAGATACCAGCTTCATGTGAGGATCAACAGTCAGACTTAAGAAGCAACAAATCCTTCCTTTGCAGGGCAATACACCCTGTTCAGCATGGCTGACACACAAACACACCTGCATTTTTGCATAACTCCTTATAAATTAATTGCAAAAGAGTTCAAGCAGAGCAGAATCTTTTAAATCATGACAAAAAAAAAATGCAAGAAGAAATATAGACTAGAAAGACAATATTTATTCATAATCAAGCCTATTCTGTGCTGATTCACTCTCCTAGCACTGCAGGATAGGCTGAGAACTGTGATCCCTCTGTTACAACACATTGCTGCAGCACAGAAATTCTGATTGTTATTCACTGTGTCTAACAAAATAACTCAACATGAACTTAACTTCAAGCATATAAATGACTTGCATGGGATTATTCAGATGTTTAAATGAAGACAAGTACTTCAGTGCTCTATTCAATGCTCTATTCAATTAAGGGTTTACTCTGAAAAGGCCAGGGTACGCAGGGTACTGCAGATTAGCAGTGTGCTGTGGAGCCAGTTACAACCCTTGTATCTCATTTCACAACTGAGCTGAGCTGGGACTGTACATGTACCCAGTTACATGGCTGAGCTGGCAGGTGGTAATGCAAGTCAGCCACGAGCACAGGAACGTGCTTTACATCTCTTAGTGGATCAGACACTTCACAGAAACTTCTACTCTTAGATTACCAGCCCTGCAGTCTGTGACTGTCACTTTCCCAGGGATCTGCTTTCCAGCCTTCAGAACCAATTTTGACCATCCCAGGCAAATTCCTAATAGGAGAGGTGTCCACTTCAAAAGAAAACAGACACAGCTCATATATCCCACACATTTTCAGCAAAGAAACAGAAAAAAATGAATGGAAAGGTAAGGGGCAGGTCAGTTTTAGAGGAGCCTTCAAGTCAAAATAAGACCAAAAGAGAGGGAAGTTTATATTGCCAGTAACTATGACTTTTTGTTCATGCTGCATGGATGCATTATACTGGAGTTATTTCAGCACCTCTTAGGTGAGACTATTAAATTCATATCATCTATTTATTTCTTTCAAGTCTAAAACAATTCCTTAAGGGTCCTGCTTCTGTTTTAAGAGTGAACAGAGCTCAGGTCCCATGCAGTATACAGGTACTTTTGTCTACTGTATTTGGGCAGTTTTCCTGTTACCTTTTACCAGGCTGCAGCATATCACAGCTAGACGGGAACATCAGAAACCCCCTGGCGCTCTACAGTATGTTAGCAGTGGGTACTGGTTTAGCAGCAGTCTATAAAACAGCAATCTCTCAAGCCACAACTCACAAGGAATGCTTCGTTAAACTCGAAAGAGCAAGGGAACTGCCTCTGGAGCTGATGGACGCAGTCCAGCCACTGTAAAAACACTGGGCAGCGCTCATTCAGGTCATCCGAGTTCTCACCATGGCCACAGCGATCTGCAAACTTGTGGCCAAAATCCAGCCACTCCGTCTCCACTAGCACCTGGAAACCCTGCAGAAATGAAAGGACAAATGAAAAGGCCCTGGTTTGCTTTGCTTCAGTTTGCTAAGATGATTTAAGACTTGCGGGAATCCCTTTATTCCTCCTGTTTCCCTTCAGCACTGGCCTCATTACTTATCTTTACTGCTTCTTCACCTAATGCCTCTGGGTTCTGAAAGGCTGCACAATGAAATTAGGACAGAGATGAATTCCCAGAACAGGAGAGGGGATAAGGCAGGTTAAGTCCTCAGTGACTGCCAGGGCAGACCCTGATATGAGACCTCTCTTGGCCAGGCAGGGGCGAGGAGGAACTTCATCTTGCTCAAAACCACCTGGATCATGGAAACCAACATATGGACAGGAGATTGTAAAGCTCTCCTTTAAGAATAAGGGTAGATCTGTCTGTCATTAAAGAAACCCATTCCTCCATCTACACAGGACACTGATGCTTGGAGAGGGAGCTCACCTGTGTGTACACCCCATGGAGCACAGTCACAAGGCTGGTTAAAGCCTTGCAGGACTTCTCATGGAAATGGAAAGGGCAAAGAACATTTCAGAACAGTGCCTGGCTGAGCACCTGAATGTGACAGGTCATGCCAGAGGATGTAAAACCCATCATAGGTTAGGAAAGGTTTGATTTGTAGCAGGAAGAAAAATCATAGAGCACACTTAAGGCAACAGCTGTAATTAGGGCAAAAATAATAGCTGAAAAGCTTGAGATGTGACAATACTGAGGACTCATTTTCCTAAACCTTTCTGGTCCTTGTACAGACAGCTACAGTTTATGGTTTCCTTTGATGCAGTGGTGACAAGAAGGAAGACAAGGAGTGTGTACAGGACTCCACACTTTGAGCAGGAATGACGGCACTCTTAGGAGGGAGCAGGACAGAGCAGCATGTTTTGACCTGATGGATGCCAACTTCTAGAATCCATGTGAAAAAGGATCTGAGAAGTTTCCACAGTTTCATCCAAAAGGCATTGCTAGAGTTTAAACTTCTGGTCCTCATGTGTCCAAGGCTTTAAGCAACAGTTTATAGCCCAATGTTCAGACTTACGCTTCTCATCTAGACAACAAAGGCATCTTGCACGTGGGCTGGCAGATGGAATCCAGCCATCACGTATCACACAGTGCTGAAAATTGATGGGGCGGGGGAGGAAATCAGCCTGGAAAACCAGGAAAAATGTTACTAAGTGACGAAGGGCAAGGAAAATGTGAAACTGGGAAAACATGCAGTTGGGCAATCTAGAAAAGAGAAAGGCTTTGTATCAATACTTGGCTGAGAAACTGCAGTGGTGGAGTGGAAACTGCAATGTGCAGCACTCTACTATTCCTAAGTTAAATATGGGAAAATACAGACTATGACTGTGCAGTTACAGCAAAGGGAGAAAATATAATCTGCTCTTGAGTTACAGACTGTATTTACACCTATACGTAACTGTATCTGCAGCCTGCTGTTAGTAAACTCCTGCTAGCTTTAGTGCCTTTTGTAGTGGGAAAACCTGACATCAGATACAGACAGAGTTCCTCAGAGAAGGACCTAAACCCAGTAAATACCTCACGCCCTACCAGGTGGTTACAAACCTCTGTGGTCCTGTAGTACGGATCTAGCAGCAGTTTGGCCAGTGCCACTATCTGGGGGGTTCGGTCCCAGCCATCTGAGCAGTGCACCAGGACTGGTCGCTGGTCTCGGTCTACAGCATGAACTACGAGCAGTGCAGACTTCAGAAGCACAGATAAGTGCTGCAGCCACTTGGTACTTTCCAGAGCTGATAACCAACTAGAGGAAAACAAGGGAAGACAGTTTTTGCTCTTTTATGATGCTTTCAGGTGTGGATATTTGAACTTATCCTGCTTGAATGGAAGGGTGGAACCCAAGGTGCCTTCAGAATCTCCTGTACCTCAGCTATCCCAAGGCTCTACAAGGTGTGCTGTAGGTATCTTAAGAATCTCTACCCTATGAAGATCCACATATCCAGTTCAGTAAGGGTGGCCATTCTGGATCTACTCTGATGACATGAAAGACTCTTAGCAACAAACTCAAGCCAGGGGAGTGATAGGGGAAACAGGACTAGTACCACTAGTGCTGCAGTCCTGCGTCCAGCTCTGGGACCCCCAACACATGAAGGATGTGGAACTGCTGGAGCGAGTCCAGAGGAGACCATGGAGATGATTCAAGGGGCGGAGCAGCTCCACTTTGAAAAAGTTCTTCCTGTGAGGGTACTGAGGCGCTGGCACAGGGTGCCCAGAGAAGCTGTGGTTGCCCCATCCCTGGCAGTGTTCAAGGCTAGGTTGGACACAGGGGCTTGGAGCAACCTGCTCTAGTGGAAGGTGTCCCTGCCCGTGGCAGGGGCTGGAACTGGAGGAGCTTTAAGGTCCCTTCTAACACAAACCATTCCATGATTCTATGAACTAAAGTGTCCTAATGGAGACCCAACCTCAGAAGCTCCTGAGATGATGGGCTGTTGGAGGCCAGACATCCCACAGCACTGGAGGGCTCTGAAATATGTCTCCTGAAAGGATGCTTTAAGTGCATGAAGCCCAGGCAACACCACTAGAATTTCCTGAAGGAAAGCCAAGCTATAGAGACTGAAGAACCAGGAATAGCAGGTAACCTCAATGCTAGCACTTAGAAGCCCAATTGAAAGTCACAACATTTTAGTATCAATACTCAAGGCTACATTATAATCTCAGATTTCATTTTCTAGGTTCACTTCAATGATAACAAACCAGTAACTTCCTTTAGCTCAAATTCCATGGAAATGAAAAAATACAGCTCAGCATTATTACACAGGAAAGGCACCCAGGGAAAAACCTGAATTTCACTTTACAAACCAGCAGAAGAATGCAGTGGCAGAAACATGTAAACAAAGGCAAAACCACCAAACATCCACTTACTTTCCTGGATCTGGCATTTGTGTGCAGAGCAAACGCAGCGACTGAAAGCTCTTCCGGATGGAATGGATGTTTGCCATCCCCATGAACACTACTTCACATTAGGGAAATATCAAGACAGAGGGAAGAAACTAACAACTACACAATGTTGAAATTCTAAAAAGAGCTTTTCCAAACCAAACTCCTGTTGCTGTGAACAGATGAAATAATCTGTTTACAAATATTCTGTAAGGAGAAACCAGGACTTGGAGCTAGGGAGGTATTCCAGACATTACAGCAGAGCAAAACAGGAAGAGTTAGCAAAGTGTTTGTGTATTTACTTTCAGTGTTTCACTCTGCATTACACAAGGCAGAGTACAAACCTATGGGGATAGTGATAGAAGCTCCAGGTTATAGAATGGTTTAAAAGGACTGAGAAACACCCTAAGAGACTGTAAAGCATGAAAAGTATTTAACACGTAATTTAGGGATGCAGAATATGGGATACTGAGTGCTTGCACAAGAAAATGCAGTGGTCTCTTAAAAGAGCATGTTTTATATCATTTGATTTCCCAACTGTTTATCAGCCCAACAAATCCTGGCCTCAGCCAGAACATCCTGTTAGTGACGGACTGTGTAACTCCAGTCAGAAGAGACTGACAGCATCAGACAATTTAAGCACTGTTTTGTCTTTTTCCTGGATTGTGTTATATATTAAATAAAGCACAACATAAATTACATGTTTTATAGATAGAGAATTAAGCAAAATGGGCAATGCCTGGAGAAAACTAGCAGCAAAAAGGAAGCACTTAATTCAGGTCCAATGTATTGAAGGAGACAAGCTGTTTGGGAATCTTCTATAAATTCCAGTATAGAGGAAGAAAATTAAACTTCCTGGAGACCTTGCTTTTCTGCTTTGAAATTTTACTCTCTGACGAGGAATTACTTGTTCAGCTGGGAGAAGAGAAGGCTCCTGAAGGGGAGACCTCAGACCAGCTCCAGTGCCTGAAGGGGCTCCAGGAAATCTGGAGAGGGGCTTTGGGCAAGGGATGGAGGGACAGCACAAGGGGAATGCCTTCAACCTGCCAGAGGGGAGACGGAGATGAGCTCTGAGGCAGAAGTTCTTCCCTGTGAGGGTGCTGAGGTGCTGGCACAGGGTGCCCAGAGAAGCTGTGGCTGTCCCATCCCTGGCAGTGTTCAAGGCCACGTTGGACACAGGGGCTTGGAGCAACCTGCTCTAGTGGAAGGTGTCCCTGCCCATGGCAGGGGCTGGAGCTGGAGGAGCTTTAAGGTCCCTTCAACCCAAACCAGGCTGGGATTCTGTGATTTAGTAGTTTTGAGGTGTTAAATGAAAAATTCATCTTTCCTTATATGGTCAAACCAGCTTTTGTTATCTGTAGTTCTTCTGCCTGTTTTTTTCCCCTAGACTCTCCACCTATGGAATTTTAACAGGCTGCATTCATATCCAGCAGTGACCATAAAATAGCATCTTCTTTAGAATACCAACAATTTACACATGCCAAAGAACTCAGGAAGTGGTAACTGCAAATGCATTCCAAACACAAGATGAATCAGGAGTTGAGCTGCTTTGGGTTACAATATAAATGCTGAAAAATGGTTCACCTTCAGTAAAATTGCTGCAAAGCTGTGTTCTGCCCAACCATTCCAGAATATTATCCTCCTCCATAGTCAGTGGCTTTATGCAAGTTTGCTCAGGGATTTTTTTAGACATCAGCACACTGGACACCTTTGTCTCGCTCTAGTTTATGTATTTGACTCAGCAGGGGAAAGCTAATCAGCATATTCCACACAGTTCAGCATTTACTGTACACTGCTACCAGCTGCTTTTATGTTCTGAGAAAGAGACTTCATTAACAGCTAAACCTGTCCTTTTGAAGGGCTGTGGGACAGCTGCAAGGATCCAGAACTTTCCTATGGATGAATGGTACTTGGAGTACCATTCGCAGTCTGTTAAGCATGCAGTCCTGAAGCGTATCAGTGTAGTTCTAGTTGAGCAAATCCTTGTGATTCACTTAAAGCTGAGAAGAAACACAGCTTACCTGGGCACTCACAGCCACCACCTTTGGCTCTGTTTGCCACAGCTGCTGCATAAGATCGTGCATCCAAGATCAAAAGCTTCTGAGGCTGTATTGCCAAACTTTCTGCTCCTGAAGCGTTAGAGATGGAGGAGTCTGGGGAAGAGGATATGCAGCTCCTGAGTAACTGAAAGGATACTCCTGAAGTTGTTTACAACAATATGCACTCAAGCCCCACAGTGCATATGCACTGTACACACAGAAAGGGGAGAACTCCTGATTAAACCTGATTATCTGTTACAGTACATGAAAGACAATAAGCTTTTATATAAAACTCTGCCCCTTACACAAAAGGAACAGTGACAAACTCACCGAATTCCACATCAGAGAGGTCCCCTCCATTGGTGAAATCTCTGGAACAATTTCCATTCATTAACTTGTTACTGTTGGACCTCGAGTCTGAGGCACAGGCTTTGGCTACAGACTGGACAAGGTGTTCATCATCTGCATTCCTCCAGCCCCACCAACTGACTTCAGGCTGTCCACAGCGGGATATAACTGCCCCATTGCTCTGGTGCCTGAAAAGGGAAATAAAAAGAATTTGTGTAACTTAAAGAATCAGGATGAAAAAAAACACAGAGGGCGTGAAAAATCAAATGTACTCCAGTAGCTGAACTCTGTGGGGGACCTCTCTATTGTTCAGCAGTAATCCTCAAACTGTGATCCAGTGGTGATGTATTCCATGTGCTTCCCTGCAAAATGCTGACTGTGACTACGCAGTCACTAGAAGGCAGAAGTCAAAGCTGGGGTACTGTTTTTTTGCTCAGTACTGTCAGCCAGTGAAAGCTGGAGAACATTCTGGAAGAGCAGACAAGGCACTGAAGAGGTAGCCAACACTGACTGGACAGCAGGTCTACTCCTGTCCTACCTGAGTAAATAGGAAAGTGGATGGAACTCACACCATGTTTGAGGCTGGAAGACAGAAGGAAACCCACAGATTCACTTTTTGATGGGATCCTTTAAAAAAAAAAAATCAAACTACCACTAATTAAATCTGAACTAGGTAGCCATTCTGATAAGAAATACTGGTAGAATTTGACATGGTTGGTGTGATGTCTAATGGTAACCCAAACTTTTGCTTTTGGACACTGATGGCTGTCCATGCCAAGGCACCGCCAGTGAGTCACCAGAAGCATTCCTTGAACCCTGCCAGTGGATCTTGGGTACTGTTTCACTAGCTAGAAGGAAAAGAACCTTTCACATCTCAGGATGCTAAACACTAGCTTTACTCATTGTGAAGCTTGGTATTAAAAGAGTGGCTCTGCCATGCCCTTTTCAGTTGCATCTCCCTCCATGTGTGGCTCTCCTCCATCCCCCTTCCTGACCCTCTTTGGGTAGTGTTTCATTTGCTGCTGCTCAAACACGTATCTAGCAGATCTAGTTCCAATTACCTGCCAGGGGCAAGGACAACTTCCACCAGCTCCTTTAGGCACTGGAGCTGCTCTAAGGTCTCCTCCCCTTTAGGAGCCTTCTCTTCTCCAGGCTGAACCAGCCCAGCCCTCTCAGCCTGGCTCCAGAGCAGAGCTGCTTCAGCCCTTGGGATGTTTTTTTCCCTATGCCAATTCTAGTTCCCGTATGTGATGCTGCAGCAAAGAATTTGACAGTCTTCCTGCAAACAAACTGGCCACCTCAGCTTTATGTTAAACAAGAGTTGCTCAGTTACCTCTAACAAGGAGGCAGCACAGAATGGGGAGGGTTACTTGAATCTTTAATCAGATGTGATCAGTAGATTCGGACAGCCCAGAGCAGTCAGACAGCCCACCCAAGCCTATCAATCCATAACCCCTGACTTTACTCCTTCTCACCACTCTAACAGATGTTTATGGAGGTGGCAGGTTTGTTGTCAGAGCTGTCAAGGCCCATCAGGAGCTGAGCAGCACCATCCCTGAGGTGCCTCTGTGGGGCACAGCATCAGGCAGCAGCAGCTGCCTCCACTATGTGTTCACAGCAACACTTACCTCGGATTAAGCCTCCTTATTGCAAAACCTGACAATTACAAACCAGGCTGTGATGTGGGATTTTAAGGATTTTTCATAGCTCTTTTGTAATTGTTCCATACAAAATTCCTTCACTGAGCAGAAGCAACTGACACACTACAGGAGCTGAACTGAAGGAAAAGCACTCTGACACCAGGGGCCAGCATGAGAAGAGAAATGTGGATGTGCTGAAATGAACAACCTTCCACTTACAGCTCTCCTGATATCAAATTAGTTCAGCAAAAAGCACCTGCCAGTCACTGAAAGGCCACCAAGCTCCTTGCTATGCTCCTGCACAAGTGACATAAGAGAATAAACCATCATTATACATGTACGAAATCTATTTGGAACGCTCAGTGAAACTCATTTATTTTTCCTTATGTTCTCCCACATTTCATTACTGCCTGCTGCAGAATCATTCTCACACGTTCATCAACAGTTACATTTTCATCTCGAGGTTCTTGTCTCCCATTTATACCACAAATAATAAGAAATCATTAGGCCAAAAGCTGAGTTCAGTGCTGGCTGTGAAGCCCTCGCGCTCCTCAGCCCGCACAACAGTACAATGTACCAGCAGAATCAGTAAACAATTCTAGTACAGCCGGAGGTCTGAGGAATCATACTCATTCCAAATGGATTGCCCACACCAAGTTAAAATAGCAAATGGTTTAAGTGTGATTCCGAGGTCCCCAGAGACAGAGCTGGGGGTAAGATGGTGTCACTCAGATGTCAGTAACCAAGGAAAGACGGAAAAGAATTAAAGCAAACTCTCCAATGCAAGTTCCCTGCCCCTCTAAAGACAAAGCAAAATGCAGCCTTCCTGCAGAAGGCCAGACTGGATGTGGTTCTGGGCAACCTGGTCTCATTGAAGATGTCCCTGCTCATTACATGGGGGTTGGACCAGATGAGCTTTGAAGGTCCCTTCTAACCCAAACCATTCTATGATTCTATGATACAGAAACTAAAGAATAAATCACCATTACATAGCTATAAAGCCCTTTTTAGAGCCTTGTGTAACTGTCTGATGAATGGTAAACCTCAGCACATGCTTCATCTTCCTTGTGTTCAAGCAACCATTTGAGGACAACAATAAATCCACCAGGTCCTTGTATCTCCTTGCATCCAGGAGGTCTAACTGCAGAATCCCAGCCTGGTTTGGGTTGGCAGGGATCTTAAAGCTCCTCCAGTCCCAACCCCCTGCCACGGGCAGGAACACCTGCCACTAGAGCAGGTTGTTCCAAGCCCCTGTGTCCAACCTGGCCTTGAACACTGCCAGGGATGGGAAATCCATGGAAAAAAAAAAATCCCCAAAGGCTTCTCCTTAACATTGATTTTATGGGGCCAAAACTGGAAAGCTGCAAACCCTGTTACTGGCCAGATTTATCTGTATGTATCTGTGCCTAGAATTTAAACAATTGTGAAGACAGAGAAAAACTACAGAGGCTGGTGTGAGGATTCCCCAGAAATCAGATCATGAAACAGCAGCATCACTCTCGACAGCCCAACCTCATCCAAGTACTTTGGATGCTTTCTCCAGCCACTTAGCTCCTCGAGTGCTTTGCGAGAGCAGACAATGGGGGTTTGTTCCATGTGTCTGCTTCCGGTTTCGCTCTGTCCCAGTGTTCGGTGCTCAGAGTCTGAGACAAGGCAGTGGGTGAATTACGAACAATCATGACTTTTTTCCTCCCTGCAGTAAAGCAAAAAGAACAGATTTGACAGAGAGAGCTAGGCTGGGTCAGCTGGAGAAGAGAAGGCTCCTGAAGGGGACACCTTAGAGCAGCTCTAGTGCCTAAAGGGGCTCCAGGAAACCTGGAGAGGGGTGTT